GTATGTTAGGTTTTATTGGTAGAGGGATTGAGTTTCGGAGCCATGAGGTCATGTTGCAGCTGTACAAAACTCTGTTGCGGCCGCACTTGGAGTATTGCGTACAGTTCTGGTCACCGCATTATAGGAAGGATGTGGAAGCATTGGAAAGGGTGCAGAGGAGATTTACCAGGATGTTGCCTGGTATGGAGGGAAGGTCTTATGAGGAAAGGCTGAAGATCTTGAGGCTGTTTTCGTTAGAGAGAAGAAGGTTAAGAGGTGACTTGATAGAGACATACAAGATGATCAGAGGATTAGATAGGGTGGACAGTGGGAGCCTTTTTCCTCGGATGGTGATGGCTAGCACGAGGGGACGTAGCTTTAAATTGAGGGGTGATAGATATAGGACAGATGTCAGAGGTAGGTTCTTTACTCAGAGAGTAGTAAGGGCGTGGAATGCCCTGCCTGCAAAAGTAGTAGACTCGCCAACTTTAAGGGCATTTAAATGGTCATTGGTTAAACATATGGATGATCATAGAATAGTTTAGGTTAGATGGGCTTCAGATTGGTTTCACAGGTCGGCGCAACATCGAGGGCCGAAGGGCCTGTACTGCGCTGTAATGTTCTATATTCTATGTTCTAAAGACACCCATCATTCACCTGATCTATACTCCTTATGATTTTATAAACTTCTATAAGGTTACCCTTTAGCCTCCTACGCTCCAGTGAAGAAAGCCCCAGCCCATCCAGCCTCTCCTTATAACTCAAACCCTCCACTCCCTGCAACATTGTGATAAATTTCTTCTGAACCCTCTCCAGCTGAATAATATCCTTCCTATAACTTCTCATTCATCTGACCAATGTGCGTTCAGTCTCTGTGTCCCTTAATCTCTTCCCCATTATCAGCAAGGTCGCAGACTGTACTTTGATCAAGAATTTTCATATTGATACAACAAGAAATCGAAAGTCTTGAAACAAGGAAGGTAACAGAAGTATTTAAGCAGTGTTAGCACTTGTTCCTTCAAATCAAAAGGTGTTTTGTTCAAAGTTCAATGTAGAAATCAGATCCTATAATGTAGGCTGACATGCAGTAATGAAGGAGTACCACACTGTTGGAAGTATCATCTTTCCACATTACAACAATGAATAAAAACCCTTTAAAAGTACTCAATATTCTGTAAAGCATTTTGGGGGTCTTCAAGTTGTGAAAAGTGCTCTAAAATGTAAGTTTTTCTCTTTATATAGTTGAAAATGTTCATCTTGCTCATGCACCTCAGTGTTGCATTTACATTTGAAGTATAAGGAGAGCTGAGTAGGTCTGAACTTCTGGTTTGCTTCAGCTTAGAACCAGAGCCATTTCTCAACACACACCGACTTGGCACAAATTCTGAGTATGGATTTATTTTGAAAAATTCGCAACTCATTACTAAGGAAAAGGGGCTCATGTTGCCAGTGCACAGTGTATTCAATAGGACAGCTGCTGAGAGCTCACAGTGCCCCGATTGCTACTTAAGTGGAGACATTAAAGATGGCCACTGACCCAAGCCATACTGAGGGTACCGAGTGTTTTGTAGGTGGGACTTGGTGAATTGAATCATCCTGTCAATAACATCATCGATATACACCCCTTTAGACATATTTGGAGACATCATAATGTTCAGCGCAGTCAGGCAAGCATCAGCTGATTTTGTCACTTTCTCCAAGATCAGTTCTCTCCACAACTTCTCCTCATGTTCTGTTTCATTATTGGTTAATCATTTGTTTAGTTACTTTATGTTCATTAGTTTCTCTCAAGAGAATATAAAGGTATGACTTATTCACTTTAGAAGCAAAAATAAGAAGGCAGATTATTACCTGAATGGCCGTAAATTGGGAGAGGGGAGTGTGCAGTGGGACCTGGGTGTCCTTGTGCACCTGTTGCTGAAGGTAAGCATGCAGGTACAGCAGGTGGTAAAGAAGGTAAATGGTATGTTGGCCTTCATTGTGAGACGTTTCGAGTACAGGAGCAGGAATGTGTTGTTGCAGTTATACAGGGTCTTGGTGAGACCACACCTGGAATACTGTGTGCAGTTTTGGTCTCCTTTTCTGAGGAAGGATGCTCTTGCTCTTGAGGGAGTACAGCGAAGGTTTACCAGGCTGATTTTGGGGTTGGTGGGTCTGACGTATGAGGAGACATTGACCAGGCTGGGATTGTTTTCACTGGACTTCAGACAAATGATGGCGGTCTCATAGAGACTTATAAAATTCTAACAGGACTGGACAGGGTAGATGCAGAGAGGATATTCCTGATGGTGGGTGTGCACAGAACCAGGGGTCAGAGTCTGAGCATTCAGGGCAGACCGTTTAGGATGGAGATGAGGAGACTTCTTCACCCAAAGAGTGGTGAGCCTGTGGAATTCATTACCACAGGAAGTAGTTGATGCCAAAGCATTGATTGTATTCAACAGGCGACTAGATATAGCACTCTGGGCAAATGGGATCAAAGGTTATGGGCAGAAAGCAGGATTAGGCTATTGAGTTGGATGATCAGCCATGATCGTGATGAATGGCCTCCTCCTGCTCCTAACTTTTATGTCACTTTTCATGACCACCAGGCAACTCAAAATGTTTTACAACCAATGAAGTACCAATTGGAATTATGGTTTCTATGGTAATGTAGAGAACGTCATAATCAATATGTACTCAGTAAACATCCAGAAACAGCATGGTCATAATCTCCACATAATCTGGTTTGTGACATTGATAGAGAGATCAATATTGGCCAGGATACCAACATTAACAGCTTGCATTTCTTTACACTAATGCCATTGGATTTTTTTACATCTACCCAAGTAGACCGATATGACCTCTGTTTAAATCTCCATGAGTGCAGCATTCTCTCAATAGGACAGTTAGATGTCAGCTCAGATATTCAAACTTAAGCCCTGGAGTGAACCTTCTGGTTCAGAGACAAGAGCACTACCCATGGAGCCAAGACTGAAACTCTGAGCAGATGAAACCTTTTTACCAAGTGTTGTGACATTGTGGAAATGGTGACCAGAATTAGCGTTTGGAACAAGTAATAGATCAATAGCTAACAATAGCTTAGACAGGTTCGAGGAACTGAATAGTCTATACATTTTTTGAGACAGATAGAGGGTATATAGAAAAAGGTTAGGCACATGAAATTGGGATTACTGCTTATGTAGAGATGAATACCATGTTTCCAAGTTGCAATTCCATTTAATTCTCTTGATATCAATTGCTGAAACTCACATCCTGCATCCTAAGGCAAGAGTTCAGTGCAGCAATAGAATTCTTTTTTAAGTATGCAATGGTTGGCCAAGCTAAAATTTCAAATGGAAACGTATCATTCAGGAACAATATGACATGAAATTAGAGGAAGCTCTGTTTCTGAAATTGATTTATGAACATGTCAAAATAGTTACTGCTATCAGTAAAGTGAATACATTCCATATAGTTTGTAAAACATGATGTAAATGATAAAATACTGATTGCAAATTCTTTAGATTCACATTTCTTCAGTTTCAAAACCTCCAGAAGCTTACTATTCAGACATTAACCCCTACTTTATTTCAAAGTCTTATTACTATAATAACTATTCAGAGGTGCACAGTAAAAGAGCAGTTATTAATTGTATCCTAATGTGCCATCAGCTATGCAATTTCTCACAATAAATAATTGGTTTCTGCAGCACTCAGGAGTTTTTAATTGACAAAAGATCTCAGCTGTACTCCCAGTGAAGTAATGCAGTGGAACAGGAGCATCTCCAAGAAATTTCTTGGCCATCAAGATTGTACATATGATTTTCGGCAGAACTCCTTTTAGTTGCAGCCCAATACTGCCAAATAAATGTTTAATACAGCTATCAGAATAGATATAATGAGCTCAAGTGGGCTGTTTTCAAGATGCTGGTTATTGAGAAACTTTAGGCCATTATCAATTCTAAATAATGCAGAAAAAAACTACATTAAAAATATGGAAATAAATCTGTTCTCAATGGAAATAAAAATCAAGAGATGTGAAACTGGCTCCTCACTCACCATCACTTACTATTGCACAGTCAAAATTTACCCCATTAAGAAGAAAAAGATTACAAAAGAAAGAATTAGATATAAAGGGAGTTATCTCATATTTGGACATGCTGGAAAGGAAGCATTAGTTACAAAATACTTTACCTCAGTTTTTACAGAGGGAGATGAATGTGGAAATGCAAGAGTGCTTGGGGTATATGTGGATACATCACTGTTAATAAGCACTGCTAATATTGAAAAGAAAAATGTTGTCAAGAAAGGCCATGAACTAAGTAATTAAATTGAAAAAAAACCTGATAATCCCAGATGAATGTTGAAAATGGTTGACCAGCTGGTAGTTAAACATAATCTTCCATAAATTTGTCAATAGCAATTGTGATTCTGTTAAGAATGGAAATAAAATAACCTTAATTGCAGACTTTTTTTTAATCTTTGAGCCAGTTTATTGAATAAGCACATACAATCAATTCCTCTACGTTGAACAAAACTTGGCGAAAGCACTGAGAGTGGCAATAGTACAAAATGGACTCTGATTTCAATGTCTACTATCAGCACAACTGATCAAGCTGGTCAGGTCCTAAAGGATATAGCTGCTAGACTGGGTCTGCAGCAGGTGGTGAAGGAACCAACAAGAAGGAAAAACATATTTGACCTCATCCTTACTAATCTGCCAGCTGCAGTAACATCTGTCCATGAGAGTATCGGTAAGAGTGACCATCGCACAGTCCTTGTGGAGACGACGTCCCGCCTTCACACTGAGAACAACCTCCATCGTGTTGTGTGGCACTATCACCGTGCTAAATGGGACAGATTTCGCACAGATCTAGCAACTCAAGACTGGGCATCCATGAGGCGCTGTGGGCCATCAACAGCAGCAGAATTATACTCCAGCACAATCTGTAACCTCATGGCCCGGCATATCCCCCACTCAACCATTACCATCAAGTCAGGAGGATCAACCCTGGTTCAATGAATATTCAAGAGGGTATGTCAAGAGGAGCACCAGGTTTACCTGAAAATAAGGTGTCAACCTGGTGACACTGGGCACCAGTTAGGTTAGTTGGCTGGACAGCTTGTCTGTGATTCAGCCTGATGCCAACAGCATGAGTTCAAATCCTGAACTGGCTAAGGTCATCATGAATGTCCCTCCTTCTTAAACTCTCCCCTCGACTGAGGCGTGGGGACCCTCAGGTTGAACTACTACCAGTTGTCTCTCTCTGTAATGATGCAGTTGTTCTATGGGACTATGGCGACTACAGCAGGAATATTTGTGTGCTAAACAACACAAGCAGCAAGTGATAATCAAAGCTAAGCAATCCCACAACCAATGGATCACATTGAAGCTCTGCAGTTCTACAACATTCAGTCATGGATAGTGGTGGACAATTATACAACGAACTGGAGGAGGAAGCTCCACAAATATCCCCATCCTTAAGGATGGAGGACCTCAGCACTTCAGTGCAAAAGATAAGGCTGAAGCATTTGCAACCATCTGCAGATAGAAATAAATGTCTATAAGAAAGGTAGATTCCGAAATAAAAGCAAAATAATGCAGATGCTGGAAAACTGAAATAAAACCAGAAGGTGCTGGAAATACTTACGAACACCCATGGAGAGACAACTTCATTTCAATTTTTCTCTTACTCCAAAGGACAGTGAGTAAATTTCAGAAAGCCAAAGTTTGGCACAACAATAAACATGAAAGGTCCTACAAACAAAGACATACAAGTCACAGTGACTTTAGTGGCTCAGACAAGGCAAGTTTAGTGTGAAATCTTTGGCAACAGGAGTTGCAGTGTCCTGGAGCACTGGGTCTTGGATCTCTCCAGGTAGATCTGTCTTTTGGCAGTAAATTCTGTGGTAAAGGTCTGGTCCCTGCCACTTCCCCATCCCTCAATCTTTTTATCATACCTTTCTCCTGTCAGGGGTTTTATCTGTCTTGTGGAGAGTGTTGTGCCTCAGCACCCAATATCTGATAGTCATGTCTCTGTTCTTAGCTGTAGCCTTCCTTCTGGGCTGTTAGATGCCCAATTGTTTTTGATAGCTTTGTATACTGCTCTTTGTCCCGTGGTGCCAGGACTTGCCATGTTGTTACTAAGACGAAGCAATTCTAGCTTAGAATGCTGCACAAAATGAAAATGACCATATACAGGGCACAAATGATTAGTTACAGGAATGAAATAGCGATCACATTAAAATTACAACTATTCAACTAAAAAAAGATCAATGTGCATCCTGCTGTAGGAAATTAAAAATCAAATGTGCCTGATGAAAAGGGTAGCCATTCCAAGTTTTGAAATGTATATTTGCAATAAATGACAAGAAATTAGAGTGAGACCATTTTTATGCGGTTCAGTGAAAAATACAATTACAGGTTTTTTAACAGTTTAGAAAATCAAGTCACTTCTAAAATGTGTTTATTTATATATTTATATCAATAACATTATTGTTACAGAGATACAAATTAAAATTATTTACAAGACAAGTTAAAAATATTCTCAGCAAATAATACATCTTCAGATAGTATGTGTTAATAAATCACAGCTGCTGTTAACATTAATGCTATAAAATTATTTGCTGAGGAATTGGTCATGAAGAGTTCCCATGGATATATAATAAATGCCCAAATTACAAAAATGGCTCACAATTTTATCTTGAATGACAAAATCTGGTCATAGATTTGCTCTGTCATTAAAATGTAAGATTTCTCAACAGTATCCAGGAAATACAATGGTTCAGTTATGATCCTGGGATTAAATGCTTCTTCTACCAAGTTAATTTTTTTTCTCTTGAAGGTTCCAGTCATCTCCATGGAATCCTAAGTTATAATAAGAAAAATACAAGTGATTTTAGTTTATTTAAGTATTTGAGGAAAGTCTCAACATTTACCTTCCATTATGAGATATTTTGAACTGTTACTACAAATATCTCACTGCCTTTTTTACCACAGCCATCAAAATTAAGGCCTATGATTCCATATGTACCTGGGACATGCTGCAATAATACGAATGAGACCATGTGAAGTCTCAGTTTGAGAATATAATTGCAAATATAAAAAAATGTTTATGCCAGAATATCTTTAACAAGCACATCTAAACTTCCACATTCCTAACAAATATCTACAAAGAATTACCATGTAAATCATTATTGATGCACTTCATTAATGGCTTCTTTAAAAACTTTACAAATCCATTTTATTTCCTTTTAGCACATTTTCACAATCCTTGTTTCTAAAGCAAAGTAGAAGGAGTTTCTGGATCCTTTGATCTCAGAGCTCAAAATATTTTACTTAACTGTTTCTCTTCCCTGTCCATGGGTTTCTGCACATCTTTCATTTACCGTCCCCTCAGATCACCCATCATTATCTGTTTCTGCCCACCTTGATCCAACTGCAGCAGTGACTTTGGTCAAACAGTCCATAACCTCCACGGGTTAGGTTTAGCTTCCATCCATTCCTACTGGATGTAGTCACATAGTGGTTGTGGTGCTGGATTAGTCATGTAGATGTTGCTTTGAGCAAGTTATATTGTGGCTAGTTATGAAACTGAGCTACATTAAACTGCCACTTTGTATGCCGGTAATATGAATTAGCCCTGAAATTTTGTTCAAATGACTCTAATAGTCTTCAAGGAAGGGACCTTCCATGCTCATTGGCTCAATCCTACCCATATAAAGTCTCTGTTTATGTGGTAGTCTTTTAATGCCATCTGAAGAGAGGTGGCAGTAAAATCAGTTATCAGGGGAAATGTCTCAAGTCACGGGAAATGTCTCAAGAACGAACTTTTAAAAAATATAAGGTCCCTCAGCAGTGGTTCAAGGTTCCATCCTTGGCCCTAACTATTCCTAGTGTGGACTGTATTCCTCATTACATTGTCCGTAACCATGGTATTTGCTTTCAGGTACATGTAATTAATACTCAGCTCTACATCCTTACCAGCACCTTCTAATCCATGACAGGGTTAAATTGCTAGTAACTCAAAAATGAGCCATAGTTTTCTTGAACAGAACAATGACAAGACAAAAACAACTCTGCCTATCTGTATTACTGTTTGATGTCTGTTATGTATTGGAGTTGGTCATTCTCTGATGTAGTCCATTATTATCAGATGTTACTGGAATTGAATCTAACACCAATTTTGAAGCAGGTACATGCTCAGCAACATTTATGGAAGTACTAGAGTGATTGAGGGATGTAATATTAGAATACCTTAGATCTAAAGAGAATCTTTCTGAAGGTGAACATAGTGAGACGAGGCTAGTTTTGAATTGTGAAACTGTTTTACTTAGAAGTTATTGTGTTAACAATCATGATTGGGCATACTTAATTGAATAGATATAACTTTCCATTACATATGATGTGGTAGTGCTGGTGTTGGACTGGGGTGGGCAAAGTCAGAAGTCACATGATACCAGGTTATAGTCCAACAGGTTTATTTGAAATCACACGAGCTTTCGGAGCGCAGCCCCTTCATCAGCTGCAGTGAGAGAGCAGGGCACACAGACACAGAGTTGATAGGCAGAGAGATCAAGGGCAGAGAGATCAAAAGATCATACAACTGGTGTGAGTGGATTGTCACATAATAAGTCTCTGTAGGTGACCAAGAGCGTTAGACAGTCAGTAAGGTGTTTCTAAAGTCTATGTCAGTGCTGTGATGTCTTGACAATCAGGCAGAGCCACAGGAATATACAACAGGTGACATCTCAGGTCAGATACTGAATTGTAGGTATGAGGCCTTGTCCAGAATCTGTCTCAGAGTTTTAACCTAGAATCAGGCTGGTTTTATTCCAAATTTATAAATTCCAGCTTTTGGAATAAAACCAGCGTAATCCTACCTTAGATACCAAGGTGCAGAGCTGGATGAACACAGCAGGCCAAGCAGCATCAGAGGAGCAGGAAAGCTGACGTTTCGGGCCTAGA